TTTCAGGTTAGATTTTTTCATTTTTACTTTGAAATGTTAAGACTTGTTGCTTGTTTAAATAAGTCCCAGTTGGAGAACCATGTAAAAGTCACAGAGCCAAGTCAACATGATTGTGTGATGCAAATTTTGGGTATTAATTAAATGGAATAATATCATAAACACATAATGAAATTAAAACAAGTTATATGACAGAGACCAGAGACCAATAAATTAACAATGTGATAGTTGGTATGATGGAAATTGCCCAAATCATTCGTTCCTTCTTCTTAGGCAACTGAAGAGTAATCTCTATTTTTTAATTGGTGTATTTAGACCATTTACAGTTAAAGTAATTGATATATTAAGGCTGAAGTCTACTATTTTATTATTTGTTTTCTGTTTGCTTCTTCTGTGTCTCGTTCCTCAGTTTCTGATTTCTTGCCTTTCTGTGGGTTATTGAACATGTTTAGGGGGCCTTCTTGATTTAATTGTAGAGTTTTTGAGTGTATGGTTTTGTGTAGTTTTCTTTGAAGTAGCTCTATTAAAATATATACATGTGACTCATAGTCCACTTTTAGTAAAGTAGAAACCTTGGTTCCATTTAGTTCCCTTTACTCTTCTCACTTTTAAATATCATTATCTTTAATATCAGATAATGTTATAATTTTTGTTTTAATCATTGCATGTGAAATAAAACTCATGAGAAGAAGAATTTACCCATATTTCTGCTCCTTCCATTTCTCTTTATTCCTTTCTGATGCTCCCCCAAATTATTTTTTTGACAAATGCAGACACCATGTAATTCACATTCCTTTCACTATATATACTATACCCATCAAAGAAACTTCCTTCTGCTTCCTTCTACCATGGAAGCAATTACTGTTTTGATTTCTATTACCACAGACTAGTTTTTATATGTTGTAGAACCTTATATAAATACTAGAGGCCCAGTGCACGGATTCATGCACTGGTGGAGGGGTATGGCCTGCGGGGATCAGCCCACTGTGGACCTGCTCTCTGAGTGGCTGCTTCTGCTATTGGAGCACTGCTCATCCCAGTCAGCCCAGCGACACTCCCACTGTGGGAGCGCACTGACCACCAGGGGGCAGTTCCTGGTCGTCGTTCTGGTTGTTTTGCAATTTGGTTGCTGGGCTTTTATATATATAGATAAATAGAATCATACAGTGTATGATTCTTTTGTATCTGGCCTCTTTCACACATGGATAATCTTGAGTTTCATCTGTGTTGTTGCATGTTCTATTAGTTTGTTCACTTTACTTGCTGAATAGTATTCCATTGTATGAGTATATCACAATTTGTTTATCCATTCTTCTTTTATTGGACATTTGGGTTGTTTCCAGGTTTGGCTACTATGAATTAAGCTGCTGTAAACTAAGAGTGGAATTGCTGGGTTAATGTCTTTCCTGCAATATTCGGTTCCCCCCTTTATTTGGGTCCTAACAACTTCTTTGCTCCAAAAGTTACAAGATGAGTTGGGAAGAATTACTCTCCTCCCAACAATGTTAGAGTGCTTTAATTAAATGCACACAAAGTAAAATTTGGTTTTAAGAGTGTAAACATTTTATTCAGCATTCATGTATTCTGTCCCTTTTCTGTTCTTGAACTTACCTTGAGTGATTGAGCCTGCAGGCTTGCTTCAAAATGACCCCTCTCATCTCCCTTAATCAGTATTTGTGGACTGAGTCTGAACACTTTGACATGCTCATCTGAAGGCTTTTGTCTTCTCTCCCTATCAGCTGCTTAGTCTCTCTAAACCTCTATTTTCTCATCTGCCAAATGAAAAGATTAACAGTGCCTTATCTCATTGGGTTGTTCCGATAATTAAGTGGGAAAATTCATGTTAAACCCTAACACAGTGACAGGGATATAGTAAAGGCTCAACAAATGGTAGCTGTTATTATTTTACTAGTAGGATTTCTGTCACTGCTCTTATGCTGTGTTTTCAAATGTATTTTGTCTGGAGCTACTAATTACCTCTAGAGTGAGTGCTCCCTCTTGGCATTAGAGGAAGAATTTTCATTTCTCCATTGGTTCATTGACCTAAATGCTCAGTGATCCCATGGGTGACTCTGGCACCTGCCTCCAGAAGGAGGAAGCATGTGGCCTTTCTGTCTCTAAATATAAGCACTCTGTATGGGGCAGGACTAGTGACACGCCAATGCCAACATGATCGGTCCAGTCTTCTTTCTTCTCATGCCTCATCTCTCAGAACAAGCAAAGTTTTTAACTCTTCTCTACCACTTCCTCGATCCTTCAGCTAATACTGTGATGTAGAATGTGAGTTTAAGAGCACTGACGGTGTCAGGGAGAGGGATTGACAGGAGTGTGTGTGTGTGTGTGTGTGTGTGTGTGTGTGTGTGTGTGTGTGTATATAGAAATCTATATAAAAGACAAAGATTAGAGCTTGGAGAGAGGAAATGGATATGTGGGATAAAAGGGGTCAGTGAGACAAAGGATGTCAGTGGGACTAGGAGGATGTCTGGTTAGAGAAAGAAATGGGCATGCAGAGGTGGGTCAGGAAAAGCACTAGGAGAATGTGGGAGGAGACTTTTTAATAAAATGTTCGAGTGCAGTTCAAAGAGCAGACTGTACCAGCATGGGACCTATCATTGGGGGGCTATTCATGAAAATGGCTCAGGTTTTGATCACCACCTTGGTGCAACAAACAAATCTACTAGTAAAAGGCTAACTTACCAATTCCATGGCCCGTTTGTTCAAATAGTTTCAATGTACTTATAAATGTGCCAGATTATGTGCTTAGTGCTGTGAACTCCCCAGTCCCAAGGTGGGGACTCTTGAGGGAACTTTCTCTTGGTAATCTGGATTTCAGGTGTGTCTAAATTTGAAAAATCCTCCTCCTTCTGTCTCCCATCCTGCATTTTGTAGAACAGGTATAGAGATGGGGAGAAGGAGAGGTTATGCCTTGAAGTTGGGATTCTCCATCACGTTTTCCATCACATCATAAAAACATGAAAATCACACGATACACCATCATATGCTTACTCAAATTTTGACAAAAACCCGAAAATTTTTATGGGGGGGGGGGGAAACAAATGGGTAGGTAGAAATTTTTCTTGAGATGTTTGTTTATTTAAAAAATGAATTGGTATTAAGGGTGAGTCAGTGGATTAAGGGTATCTCAGAGCCTCTGCAGTGCAGTAAGACTGGTTTTAGATTATAAAACCATGTTACATGCTGGCTTTGAGTGTATGTGAGGAAGAGTAAGGTTATTAGAGCTATAAATTTGAATTAGTTTCAATTTATTAAAAGGGTTAACATTTACAAATTTTGATGCCTTATTTTTTGTTATTAGAAATAATTTTCTTGTGATACATCTCACAATGAATCCTTCCATATATTGTGCTGCAAACAGAGGCCACCCTTATAGCCTAGTGTGGGGGGGGCAGGCTATTTTACCCATTAGGAACATGGCTTCAGGGTGTACAGCCTGCACATTTGTAGGTGGTGAAAAATATGAGACCACAAGCACATGTACAAGGAAAATGGCAAAATGAAAATCATGCTTGTTTAAATAAATGTCTAAATAATATAACTACACAAAAAATAACCAACTCCACTCCTATATAGTTATCTAACAATTATATTTGAGGTGGATTGTGGGCACATTTTAGTATGTTGTGATGTCAGGAGTCTTCCAAACTTAAGGTTGTATAAAAACATAAAGGGCCTTCCCCTATGGAGGGAATGGGTATAACCAAAAAATAGGGTTGGAAGTCACAAGAGGAAAAGACACTAGGAAGAAAAAGAGAAAGCAGAAAATTGAAGAAGTGGCTCTATTTCTTTTTAGCCTGGACCAAATCTTTCCCTGCCTTTGCTTTCTTCACTATTGAGGTTATAAAGCATCGTTAGAATTATAAGCAGAGCCAGAGTTGGTTTTTCTTTTTTGATGACTTATATTAGGTATCTTGCATTGAGAAGTAATATATAAAAGGAAAATGAATTTGATTTATTTCTTTAAAAAATAGATAATAGATCTTATTGATTTTTACAGAGAGGAAGGTAGAAGGATAGAGAGTTAGAAACATAGATGAGAGAGAAACATTGATCAGCTGCCTCCTTCACACCCTCTACTAGGGATAGAGCCTGCAACCAAAGTACATGCCCTTGACTGGAATTGAACCTAGGACTCTTCCGTCAGTGGGCCAAAGCTCTATCCACTAAGCCAAACCAGTTAGGGCTGAATTTGATTTCTGATGAAGTTTTGTTTATATAAATTTGGGCCCTATGCTTTAGAATAGAGGCAGAACAATGTGGCCTCTTGGTGCTTATGCCAGTAAAGTTCAGCCTCTCCTATAAATCGAAGATAAATTAATATTTAGAATACATTGTTTGGAAGGGTATTAAATTATTAGGGACCCTTACTTGTCTGAATCTGGCTCTGTCCCCTTTCCTGTACCTATGTGGAGGCCCATTGCTCCCTCCCTACAGCCATCATGCTCCGAGCAAGTGCATCTGCATTGAGGAAGAAGGATAGACTCAAATTTTGTCTCTTATTTCTTTGGATGCCTTCCTCCAAGGGACCCTCTGAAAATCCGTATCAGTAGTTGCACCTAATGTTTATCTTGTTCCTTTATACTCCTGATTCTCTCCTTATCCTCTCCATGGTCTCTTTTCTCCATGTTCCCTTCAGAATCTTAATCACTCATTCTTTCCCTAGCCCTGATAGCTAACAGATAGAGCTTCAGAAGCAGACAAATCTTACATGAATGGTGGGAAAAGCCAAGGCAAGAAGGTCTCTAGGATTAATCCTTCATAGCAGGAGGGAAAACTAAATCTTTTTGAGGGTTAAGGAACAAGTGGGCCAGAGGAAGGCTATATTAATGGAGCCAGAGGGGAGTGTATTGATTTCTTATACTCAGTTTTCCTGGTGGCTCCTAAGAAGATCTAAACACAACCTTTATGGAATTATCTGGGGAGGAGCGTGAGAAATTCACAAAGAGCAGGTAATGAATATGGCTTCTCAATTTCAACAGCTGCCCCACTCCTCACTGCCTTTAGAGAAGATCTGGAGAAGATCTGTGGAGAAACACATTCCTTAGGCTTCTTCTGGATTTCTACTTTGTGCTCCACTTACATGAATAGGGAGCCACAAGTGCCAAGTTATTAGGTAAGTGTCATGTGAAATTTTCAAGGTAATAACCAGATAAATTTAATGTGATTACATATAATCAAGTTAAAATACAGTTTGCCTAATAGGTCTTCAGGAAGGAGATATATTATTATGGACATGGGCCATCACAAAGTGGTTTGTCTTAAAATTTGAATAAGCAGAAATGGAAGGGAAGGGAACTTCCTGTAAACACAGAATGAGAAAGTCTTGGAGGAAAAAGTATAGCATGGGTAAGGGGGCAAGTGCTGCTTGTGTGGAAATGCAGAATGAGGACAGAAAAGTGGGTGGGCCCAGACTTTGGGGGCAGGGTGAATGGAGGCAGGGTGAAGCATGGTTGGTGAAGACGTTCTATGTGCAAATAAGCACAAAGGGCCAGAGGTTATCCCTATAAGTGAGTATTCTCTGGAAGGACTTTCCCCTGGAGAATCCCACAGTTTAGAAATCCATGCTGTCTTTTGTGATCTCAGCTCACACTCAGAGATGCTTTCTGTTCCTACTATATTCAGCAGACCCATCAACTTCTAAGTCATTATAGAGAGGATCCTAAAGTTCATCATGACTCACACCAACCTTACCATCTTCCACCCTGCAGTTTTTGTCCTACTCGGCATCCCGGGGCTGGAGGCGTATCACAACTGGCTGTCCATACCCCTCTGCCTCATGTATATCACGGCAGTCCTGGGGAACAGCGTCCTGATAATGGTCATCATCAAGAGCGTTAACCTTCATGAGCCCATGTACTTTTTCCTTTCCATGCTGGCCATCACGGACATCCTGCTGTCCACCACTACTGTACCCAAGGCCCTAGCCATCTTTTGGTTCCATTCCCATGACATTGCCTTTGATGCCTGTGTCACCCAAGTTTTCTTTGTCCATGTGATGTTTGTGGGGGAGTCAGCCATCCTATTAGCTATGGCCTTTGACCGCTTTGTGGCCATCTGTGCTCCTCTGCATTATTCAACAGTGCTAACATGGCCTGTTGTGGGAAGAATTGCTCTGGCCATTGTCACCCGAAGCTTCTGCATCATCTTCCCAGTGATTTTCTTGCTGAAGCGGCTCCCCTTCTGCCGGACCAACATCATCCCCCATTCCTACTGTGAGCATATTGGAGTGGCCCGCTTAGCCTGTGCTGACATCACTGTTAATATCTGGTATGGCTTCTCAGTGCCCATTGTCATGGTCATCTTGGATGTAATCCTCATCACTGTGTCTTACTCACTGATCCTCCGAGCAGTGTTTCGTTTACCTTCCCAGGATGCCCGGCACAAGGCTCTCAGCACTTGTGGCTCCCATCTCTGTGTCATCCTCATGTTTTATGTTCCATCCTTCTTTACCTTATTGACCCACCGCTTTGGACATAACATTCCTCGACATGTCCATATCCTGCTGGCCAATCTTTATATAGTGGTGCCACCAATGCTCAACCCCATTGTCTATGGTGTGAAAACTAAGCAGATCCGGGAGGGTGTAGCAAACCGGTTCTTTGACATGAAGGCTTGGTGCTGTGCTTCCCCTCTGGGCTGATGGCTCCTCAAAAATCCCCACTCCCAACTTTGCCAAGGAAACTAGGTATAAAATATAGAGATTTCCTGAGAGGGCTTTTCCTTCTCTTCCTCAGTCCCTTCTTCTTCTTCATCTTATCCTCTTCTATCTCTTTTTCTTTTCTTTTCTGCCTCTTCCTCTTTGCCTCCTTCCCCTGTTTCTTTGTTTCCTTTATCCTCTTCTTTTCTCATATTCCTCCCCCACAACCCACAAATAACAACTAAGTGTTCATGCTTCTAATTATGAACATTTGGTATCCTCAGTAGATCAGATGTACTCCAGAAACACAGGGAGCTGAACAGCACATTAAATAAGTTATGCACAAATGGATAAAAATAATTTTATGTTTAATATCTGAAAGGGTTCCAGTTTTTATCCCCAAATGTGCATTTATTATTTGTACAGGTTCAAGTAGCTCTCCATCCACTTCTATAATAGCAGGTGTTTTTGAAAAATAGCCATGCATGCATGCCATTTAGCCATCTGGAAAAGTCCTGTTCTTTCTTCAAATTTCAAGTATTGTCTTCCCTGAGAAGTGTTTCCTAAATTTTTCTAGGCAATCCAAGACTCTTATCTTTGTATGTCTATTGTATCTTGTACAAGTCTCCAAATATATATAATGAATTATAATGGGTTATTTATTTATTTATTTATACCCTCAATTGACTATATAAACTCTTTGAAACCAGAATAGTGTGTGTCATTAATATTTGTACTCTTAGTACATTACAAAATACTTAGTACATAATAAATGTTTGAGAAATGAATGAAAGCATAATTACCTCCCTGAAGTTAGAACATGCATCTCTATCATGCACTGAAATGATCAGCTAAATGTGTCCACAAACCTAGTGATTAGTAAACTAGGTCCTCACAAAGACAGTGTAAGTATCATGGAGGCAAATATGCTGCTCATTAGAGTGTTTTCAACTCCAGGAAATAGATAAGAGTAGGACACAGATTATTTTTGATTTTCTCTTCTACCTGGATTCTGAACATCCACATTATTAGGAATCATAGCATGTTGTTCATGGCCAGATTAGCAAAATAGAGTAGGCTCTTGGAGTTCACACTCTTGACCCTTATTCTTTCATTTTTTTCCCCAGCAAATGTCATCTACACTCATTTCCTCCACCTCCACCTATACCAATGAGTCCCACATCTCTCGTTTCATCTTAGAACTCTTTTGAGTTTTTTATTTTTTGTTAATCCTCACCCGAGGATATTTTTCCATTAATTTTTAGGGAGAGTGGAAAGAGAGGGAAAGACAGAGAAAAACATCGATGTAAGAAAAACACATCGATTGGTTGCCTCCTGCACGAGCCCTGACCATGGCCCCAGCTGGGGAGGAGCCTGCAACCAAGGGTAAATAATAAATGTTTGAGAAATGAATGAAAGCATAATTACCTCCCTGAAGTTAGAACATGCATCTCTATCATGCACTGAAATGATCAGCTAAATGTGTCCACAAACCTAGTGATTAGTAAACTAGGTCCTCACAAAGACAGTGTAAGTATCATGGAGGCAAATATGCTGCTCATTAGAGTGTTTTCAACTCCAGGAAATAGATAAGAGTAGGACACAGATTATTTTTGATTTTCTCTTCTACCTGGATTCTGAACATCCACATTATTAGGAATCATAGCATGTTGTTCATGGCCAGATTAGCAAAATAGAGTAGGCTCTTGGAGTTCACACTCTTGACCCTTATTCTTTCATTTTTTTCCCCAGCAAATGTCATCTACACTCATTTCCTCCACCTCCACCTATACCAATGAGTCCCACATCTCTCGTTTCATCTTAGAACTCTTTTGAGTTTTTTATTTTTTGTTAATCCTCACCCGAGGATATTTTTCCATTAATTTTTAGGGAGAGTGGAAAGAGAGGGAAAGACAGAGAAAAACATCGATGTAAGAAAAACACATCGATTGGTTGCCTCCTGCACGAGCCCTGACCATGGCCCCAGCTGGGGAGGAGCCTGCAACCAAGGTATGTGCCCTTGACCGGAATTGAGCCTGGGACCCTTTGGTCTGCAGGCTGAAGCTCTATTCACTGAGCTAGAGCTCTTTTGAGTTTTAAATGCATAAACTCATCTGTCAACTGAATATCTCCTCCAGGATATAGAACTCATGCTAGCACTTCTTCATGTTCCTGTTCCTTTCCTTGGAAACTAGATCATGAGGATCCCATCAACTTCATCAAGCTGGAAACCCTAGGGGAGTTTCTCAATTTCTTCCTTCCTGGACTGCTCATCAAGAAGTTATTGGTTGTTACTCATATTGATAATAACCAAATAGTTATCTGGATAGTATTTGGAGTGATACTGGGATTCCAGTCCTGTCCCTATTGTTTTCCATTATCTTCTTAGGCCATATCTAAAATGAGCTCTGGGGAATATGTTCTTCTTGGGGACAGCACAGCTTTCTCAGTCCACTTCCTGGTGCTAAAAGCTTGGATCCAAGAGTTGTATTAGCTCTTGACTAGTCAAAGTCTTTCTTAGCTGAGTTCTTGGTTTCTTCGGCATTATATGTTTATTAATAACCTAGTAGGCTTCTCATCTATGTGGTTTTACTTATGTGCTAGTAAACACCCCCCGCCCCAATCTCTTAAATATATAATTCTCAAAAGTTTTCTATATTTCCTTTCATTATTTCCATGTACATCTTTCTGAACTAAATAAAGGCTAATTTGGGATAGTGATGCTTTAGTGGGAAGGTACCTTTGCCCTCAGTCGCTTGATTTATTTGAGATGTTTACTGATTAGCACACCCAGGACATGAATTTAAATATATGTATATTTAAATTTTATTATGTATGTATTTTTATAGTTGACACTATTACAGATGTCTCCCATTCTCCCCCCTCCACTTTCATCCACCTCTACCGAGCCCACACCCCCTTCCCTTAGCCTTCACCACACTATTGTCTGTGTCCATGAGCTATATATTCTTTGGCTAATCTCTTCATCTTCCCCCATTCTGTCCTCCCTCCCTCCACCCCCTCTGAGATCTACCAGTCTGCTCCATGCATCCATGCCTCTGGTTCTACTTTGTTCGTCAGTTTATTTTGTTCATTATCCTATATAATAAAAGGCTAATATGCAAATTGACTGAATGGTGGAATGACCGGTTGCTATGATGCGCAATGACCACCAGGGGGAAGATGCTCAATGCAAGAGCTGCCCTCTGGTGATCAGTGCACTCCCACAGGGCTCACGGCTGGTGAGTGCAGCAGCAGTGGCAGGAGCCTCTCCTGCCTCTGTGGCAGTGCTAAGGATGCCTCGGGGGATGCCTGACTGCCAGCTTGGGTGGACATCTCCTGAGGCAGGCGGACATCTCCCGAGGGGTCCTGGACTGCGAGAGGGTGCAGGCCAGGCTGAGGGACCCCCCCACCCCTCTCCACCAGTGCATGAATGTTGTGCACTGGGCCTCTAGTATTTCACATATAAGTGAAAT